AAGCAGCAGAGAATCAGCCTAGAGAGGTCTTCAGTTTGCTAAATTGATACATTAGCATTATTAAATTCAATTTAGTGGCCCTCTTTAATTGCTTTTTCCTTTGCATTTGAATAATCAAAAGTAAAACGAGATTCTTCTTATACTATAGACCTGTGGCGGGGAGCATTTAAATTTGTTCGGCCACAAAAGTACCTGGGTACTCACTTCCCTTTCACTTGTCTGTTGAAGGCTTGAAAGGAAAAAAAAAATCAGTTACAGGGAGAAAATCTGCACTGAGTACCAATATCTGCTGGAATAAACAGGAGAATGTATTAAGACTTCAGCAGTTTTTGTGATGCACTCTGGCTTTCAACATCGTCTTCTGTCCGAGAGAGCTATTTTCCCCCTCACATCCTCCATAAGCGCCACCAGTGGAAGTGACATGTCAGTGATAATATTTATTTTAAAACTCTTATCAACTTGATGCTTTCTTTTCAGGTTTATTAAAGCAATGAAACATACCTTTCTGAAATACAGACTGTAAGGTGGTCAGTAGAAAATTGCTTTTATTTATATATATATATACACACAAACACACATACACACACACACATATAGTGGAAAATGAGGATTTATAGCAAAGTTTGTCCATAATAAAAAATACAAAAATTGTTTTATTAATTTTGTATGATTACAGTACTACACAAATTACAGTTTTCTCATATGTTCCAGCTGAAATTTTGTGGTTACATAACTCAAAATGACTGACGTTAGAAACTCTAGCCTTGACTTAATTTATAGTTCTGACAGAGGAAGCAAAATCAATCCACATATTTGTTTTAAAAATGTTCATTGAAATATTTTCTATTGGGTTTCTTGCAATACTCACTGTGATTTAGATCTCAATCCTAGAAAGATTTCTGTATCTGCTTAAATTCTTGTAGCATCAAGGCCTTATGCCTGGCCTACACCTAAAAATTAGATCTACCTAGCTACATTGCTCAGGGCCATGAAAAATGTTGTGTCCACCATGATGTAATTATGTTGACTTGACCTTCACTGTAGATGCAGCTAGGTTGATGGAAGAACTCTTCTGTCGACATAGCTACCACCTCTTGGAGAGGTGGGTAACTTACCTCAATGGAAAAACCTCTTCCCTCTCTAGGAACTGTCTATGCTATAGTGGCACACTTGCTGCCTTGTAGCTGTCTGCTGTAGCCACTGTAGTGTAGATATAGCCTTAGAATGTTAGGTTGACACAAATAGAAATTGCACAAATAATGCCTCAGTAAAGGACATCCAGATGAAGGCCTTACTTAAGGCTCCTGAGTTAAAAGAATGTCTTGGCTGAGGTAAATCTTCCAAATTAAGCTTTGCTTGGCTAAGGCCTCCAGATTTAAAGAGGCATTAATTAAGACTTCCTGGTTTAAGTATATCTTATTTAACAGTTTCTTCCTTACCGCTACTTAAGCAGTTCAGGATCTGTCATTTATGTGTATGTTACTAATATAAAGTAATTTAGAAGCATTAAAACAGTCCTAAAGGGATTTAGCAGCCCTGAGATGCTCCTGAAGAGTTTTATCAGCAGTGAGGCACCTTAAAGTGCTTTAGCAGCTAATTGTCTGATTTCTTTCTTTCTCTCTCACACACACACACACATCATTATTTTAAGGGTGAGATAAATGCACACAAAAAAATCAAACTGATATGTTAGGATTTCTAAAAGAACAATGAGTCATGTTGCTCTTACATTTTATTCTTGTTTTCTTTCTTAATGTACACCTTAATAATGAAGAGTTTGTTAAAATCATTTTGTAAGAGACATAGACTGTGCAATAGAGCTGAGATCACATTGCTTTAAAAACTCTAACTTTTCAATTTGCTAAATTTAGTATGCTTGAGTTCTCAGTGCTGCACTGTTAGTTGTTAAAGTTATACCATGCATTTAAAAAAAAAAAATCAAAGCTTCTGTTACTTGGACCTCACTCTATAGTGAAAGAGACCCTATAGTCAGGACTTGTTTACAGTACAAAATTGGTCAACTTAATTTAGGTTGACCTACAGCCACCGCAGTAATTCAATCAGCTGTTGGTGTCCCCACAACCCTGCTGCCGGTGGTGTGTCTTCACCAGGAACACTTGTACCAACTTAAATGGGGCATTGTGGGGAACTGACAGCTGAGTGTGGGACACTGACAGCCACATAGGGCTAACAGCGGGAGCCCCCCACCCATCCTGGGTGATAGCCCAAGCTGAGTCCAGGGCAGGCTCAATTTCACAGCATCTAGCCTACCAGCCGTGAAATTGACTTTCTTGTCAGTGTCATGGCTCTAGCTGTGAGCCCCCTGCTGCTCTGAGAGGGAGGCAGCCCTGAAACTGATAAGAATGACAGCCAACAGCCAATGTAAGTAATGCAGTATCTACATGAACACTGCATCACTTTAATTTAGGGTGACCAGATGTCCTGATTTTATAGAGACAATCTTATTCTTATATAGGCTCCTATTACACCCCACCCTGTGTCCCAATTTTTCACACCTGCTGTCTGGTCACCCTCCTTTAATTACACCAACATAAGTGCTACACTTCTTGTGGCGGTGGAGTTATGTTGGTGTAGCAGGCCACTTAGGTGGAAGCAGCATTCTAGTGTGGGTACGTCTTCAATCGATTTATCCGGGATTGATATATCGTGTCTCGTTAAGACGCAATATATCGATCCCCGAACGCGCTCACCGTCGACTCCGGAACTCCACCAGAGCGAGCGGCAGTAGCGCAGTCGACGGGGGAGCCGCGGCCGTCGATCCCGCGCCGTGTGGACCCCAGGTAATTCGATCCAAGATACTTCGACTTCAGCTACGTTATTCGCGTAGCTGAAGTTGCGTATCTTGGATCGATCCCCCTCCCCAGTGTAGACCAGCCCTGATATAATTAGTGTAGACCAAGCCTCTGTTTGGGCTGCAGAATTCAAATAAAGGATGTTTTGAACCGTTTGTTTCGGAGTCTCAAACGTATTTCTTCCTTTGATGACTTTAAACAACCTGAAAAATCTCATTGTTTGTTACACAAATATCAACAGGTTAGTAAGCTCATAGCAGGGTGTGTGCTCCAGAGCATGGAGACACTGGTATTGTTGGAACTCCCCCGTCATCTTTTGTTCCCTCCAAGATGAAATTTTGGCCAAATTCAAGGGCGTTTGCAAAGCATTTGGATTTCAACAGAACTGCATTTTGAAAAACTTGGAAAATGCAGTATCCCCACAGGTTTTCTGTCCAGCTCTAGTGCTCTATCACCCCCATCTAACATATCCAAGCATAGGCGCAAACTTTCCCCAGCGCCAGTGGGTGCTGGCACCTCCCCACCCCTGCCCCGACTCCACCCTTTCCCCGCCCCTGCCCGACCCCCATTTCAACCCCTTCCCCAAAGTCTCCACCCCAACTCCGCCCCCTCCCTGCCCCTATCGGACCCCTTCCCCAAATCCCCGCCCCGGCCTCGCCTCTTCCCCGAGTGCGCTGCTTTCTCTCTCCTCCCCCATCCCTCCCCCCTCCCAGCCCGCGCGAAACAGCTGTTTTGCGGCACAAGCACTAGGAGCTAGGGGGGGAAAGCGGGCACGTGGCGCACTTGGGGAGGAGGCGGAGGTGGAAGGCGGAGGCGGAGTGGAGGTGAGCTGGTCGGGGTCGGGGAGCTGCCGGTGGGTGCTGAGCACCCACCAATTTTTCCCCATGGGTGCTCCAGCCCCAGAGCACCCACGGAGTCGGCACCTATGTATCCAAGCATTTATATCAGGGAAGGGCAAACTATGGCCCACGGGCCGGATCCAGCCTGTCAGGGCTTTCAATGCGGCCCGCAGGATTGCCCGCCCCATGGTGCAGCAGGTCTAAGGCAGGCTCCCTGCCTACCCTGGCCCTGCAACGCACCTGGAAGTGGCCAACACCACGTCCCTGCAGCTCCTGGGACGGGGGGGGTGGGTGGGTGGGGAGGCAGAGGGCTCTGTGCGCTGCCCTCGTCTGCTTCATCTGCAGGTACCACTGCACCCGCAGCTCCCATTGGCCGGAAACAGGAAACAGTGGCCAATGAGAGCTTCGGGGGTGGTACCTGCAGGTGAGGGCAGCATGTGGCAGAGCTGCTTGCCCCCCACCCCCAGGAGCCACTGCCGGATGTACTAGCCTCTTCTGGGAGTGGCGCCCGGCTAGCCCCACTGTGCACTGCTGCCACCCCAGAGCCACTCGAGGTAAGCAGTGCTGTGCCGGAGCTTGCACCCCGAACACCTCCTGCACCCCAACCCCCTGCCCTGAGCCCCCTAACCCCCTGCCTTGAGCTCCCTGCCGCACCCCTC